GGAGATCACTTCACCATCACCGACACCACGTCGCCGTGCTGCCGGAACTCATTTACTACCTCGCCGTCTTGCTAGATCGAGAAGGTGAGTCCGTCATCGAGCTGAACGTGTGTTGAACGCGGAGGTGTCGTACGTTCGGTACTTGATCGGTTGGAGCGCAAAGAAAGTTCGACTACATCAACCATGTTGTGAAACGTTTCCGCTTACGGTCTACGAGGGTACGTAGACACACTCTCCCCTTCATTGCTATGCATCTCCATGGATAAATGCGTAGGAAATTTTTTGAAATTACATGCTCCGTTTCCCAACAATTAATTCCGCCTCCCGTGGGACGAATACGACAAGTTTTTTTAATAACAGGAGGACAAATCAGTTACAAAATTTCATTAGGAAATTACTGAATACAGTTTTAACTTACAGCAACACCATTCCAGATGGAATTTCTAGCAGCATGTGGCCAAAGAAAGTAGCTAGGCAACAGAAACTATGGAAAGACGTATTGTGGAATAAGAGAACATGTGTTCTCCCCTTCAGGATTGTGTGCTGGCAAGTATGCCGCCCATAATCTTTTTCTTCTTTGGAGCTAGAAAATCGTCATGCCACGGAAATCAAGAAGCTGACCCACAGCTGGTCTTCTTACTTGTCTTCAATGCAACAGGAAGCAGCTCATATAGAGAAGTCGTAACAAGAAAGAACAGCGCAGATTTACACTGAGAAACTAATGTAACAACTACAACACCTCAAATGTCCTTGCCTCCTCCCTACTGAGCAAAATGTGTCTGGTAAAAATTGCAAAAGATTCAGTGAGTCAGTCAGTCAGGGGAGAATCTTTGCAAACGCTACTTAATAGCACCAGTCGACTCAGCCTATTAATTTAGGATAATAAGTATGAAAGACATACGTAGGATAATGAGTACGAAAAAAACGAAAGCTAACCTTGTGAATAACGACGATCACCTAATCCTCTCCCAAAGTCCTTTATGGCTCAATCTGACCGTGACATTTCTTATGTGACTAATCTTCATTACATCTTCGTTGCATTCATCTTCTGCCGGAGCTTCTCTATCAACTCTTCTGATGTGTCCTCCAGACGCAATTTCTCGAGAGCTGCAAGGTGTTCAATGCCATCAGGAAGAAACTTTAGCTCAGGACAGTTTATGAACAATAGATTGGCAAGGCTTTTCATCGCGCCCTCCTGTATTCCAACTTGGTTGAGCTCTGTTGCGTCCCATATGTATAGATGCCTAAGTTCTGGAAATGATCCCGAGCAAAAGTCCAATTTTTTCCCTTCAAAAGCCTTCCTTAGCCCAAGAGAGCGTAGACCATGTAACACGAAGAGACAGGAAAAGGTTTGCTCATCAATATTGGAGAATCCCAGCTGCAACCGAGTCCGGCCATTAAGGTGTGACCAGGAAGAGAAAAGCTGAGGCATCGATATTTTTTCTAGCTGCCCTCCTAAACAAAGCCAAGAAAGGGTTGGAGGTAAATGTAGCCCTTCCAACTGCAGCATGTCACTCTCAGCTGCAGCGATAATTTCAAGATGAACAAGATGGCTCATTTTGGTAATAGCATTGCTCAAGTCAGCAGAGTGTTCGCTTCTAATGTTGCAGACACTGAATGTTCTTAGCTCTATCAAAGATCCAACTTCACACAGAAACTCTGGAGTGGCTTTGATGCACTGGAGAGAGCGCAGTGCTGTCATGTGCTGTATGCCAATAGGCACCTTGACTCCATCTCCAGTTTCATTTACTAGTGAACCAGGAGTACACGCATACAGGTATCCCAACTTTTGTAGTTTAACAACATTGTTTGGCAAATACGCCAGCTTAGATTCACAAGCATCCAAGACTTCCAAGTTTTGTAACCTCCCAACTGCTTCAGGCAGGCTTTCAATCTTGGTATCTCTAAGACCCAAATAACGCAGGTTAAACAAGTCGAATACTTCATTGGGCAGCATTTTGATATGAGTACCTTCCAGATCCAAGGTCGACAGAAATTTCGAAGATGTTAGAATAGGCTTCAAAAAATCAACATTGATACACCTCCCTAACACATGGAGCACACGGAGATGTGTTGCACCAGAACGGCTTAGTTGTTCAATGTGTTCACCCTGAACAGATATGCGACGTGCACCCTCTACGGAGAGTGCCCCAGAAGCAGAGCTATTATAGAATTTTGCAAAGCATTCTTCCTTGGCTTTGTTGAGGGCAAGTAGGCGTATGACATCATGCATCCGGCAGTGTTTTAGTCGCCCGGCATGATTCCTCTTCACTACCTGCAGTAGACTTCGATTCACAAGCTCGGCTAAGTAGCCCTCTGCCACTTCCTCCAATGTTTTGTTCTCTTCCTTTTCCCTGATAAACCCTGCCGTAATCCACTGCCTCATTACCTTCCTCCTCTTTAATACATGATCTTCTGGGCATAATGCACAATGTAAGAAACAATTCTTCTTATCATATGAAAGGTCCTCCAAGCTGACCTTTAGGATCATATGAGCATCAGGGATCACATCTTTCGCGAACTGCGAATCCAAACCCCTATACACATCCTCCCATTCAGCAAAAGTTGGTTGTTTCCAGGAGAGTAGGCGGCCAATGCATGCAATTGCAATAGGCAAGCCTTGACACTTTGCTACTAACTTCCGGGCCAATTCTTGCAACTCCAACGGGCACTCTTTGTCATCATTATTCCAAAAGGCCTCTTTGCAGAACAACACCCAGGACTGATATGCTTGTAGCGGTTCCAAGTGAATTGCAGACTCCCTAGTTGCTAACAGTGACACTTCATGCTTTCTTGATGTGATAACAAATCGGCCGGTACAATTAGATGTTGGAAAGACATTCCTTATCTCTGACCACACAAGCGGAGTCCAAACATCATCCAGGACCACGATGGAATTTTTACCTTGAAGGTAGTTATGGATGGACTCTGCTAGGCCTCTCATCTCACTGGTGGCCACATCAACTGCGATGCCGAACTCCGCGGCTATCTTCTTCAGCCGATCTTTGAGGCAGTAACTCTTCGACATGGTTACCCACCCTGCGGCGTCAAAATCCAATTTCAACATGTTGTACACATGAGCAACCAGAGTGGTTTTACCAACACCAGGCATTCCCCATATCGTGATAACTTTACTGCTGCTCCGCTCCAAATCATCACCATCACCACTACCAGCGGTCAGCCAATGTACCAACTTATTCTTATTCTCCTCGATCCCCACAAGATCCTCATCTTTGGTGAAGTGCAGAGCTTGACCTTGACTCGTCGATCTGGCAGCAGAAGAAGTCCTGTCGGCGTAATCCTCCTTCCTCCGATTGGCATCCTGCAGCTTCCCTTCGATTTCTTTGAGCTTGTTTGCCAGGCGGTACCAGGTCTTGATATGCATGAGCCGCTTCTTTATCTTGCTGGTGAACCCTCCGTGCTTGCAGTCCTCCAGCTTGTAGGTGAACTCGTCGACGACGTCCTCGATCTGGAAGGCCAGGCCCCTGATCTCGCCAACGAAGATGTTGGTGGTCCTGTCGGTGTCCTTGAACCGCTCCGCCTTGTGCAGGTAGGCCTGCATGCTCTCCAGCTCCGCCTTGGACCGGCGGATCTTGCCAAAGACGTCCCTGATGGCGGCGGCTTCCTTGCGTAGCAGCGACCAGCCGAAGGTCGCCGCCTCTGTCGCCAGTGCCGTGCCGAGCGTTGCCACCACCAGCCCAACAACACCCTCCGCCATGGTTGTTGAGGCTTTGAGCTCAGATTCAGAGGGTTGTTGCTATCGGAGGAGCAGGAGTGCAGGACTGTTGCTAGTGTATCGGAGGCAGAGGACGTACGAATGGTTTGGTAAGGTTGGCTACCTACAATGTGTGATCTAATTTATTCCAAAACAAAATTCCGCCAACAACTTTAAAGGCAAATGGACAAATTATTGGACGACAACTTCAATGTTCTCAGCTAAAATTGTACTACTGTATAAGTCTGCGTTCTATGAGAAAAAAACAAAAAGAGAGGAAGTGTGCAAAAACAGCCGGCATAATGCTTCATTTTTTTTCGGAGCATGCAAATGGACATATTGTTGGACGAGAACTCCGATGTTCTCAATTCATAGGATGGCTCACACCGGACCCTTTTTTTGTCCCTACTTCCAAATTTTATAGTTGCTGTCCACCTCAAACTTTTGGAATGTATTTTGGTAAATCCAAGAATCACCTTGCACATATGACAGTCATACAAGCAAGAGGGGCACAGGTAAAATTTATCTTGGTTTGAACTCCAAAATAAGATCTAGTATTGGTTAACTTAAGAGCATCTCTAGCAGACCCCTTATATCGCGCCGAACTGCAAAATAACTGCCGGTTTGCAGTTTTGCGTGAAAAAAGTGGCACGAACAGATACAATACCGGACCACGGCCTTTAAAAGAAATTACGGGGGGCGGCAAATTCTTCCCCTCAACCTTTAGAAACACGGGGCAGGAGGCCGACTCGAGGGTGACCTCTGTCGCTAGCGAGATTTGGCGGGAGGGACATTTCTGTGCGGCAGTTCCCGCTCTCCCTTCTGTCCGCCGCCATTCTTCTTCCTCCGCCCGCTCCAGACCACCTTCCCCGGCTCTGTAGCACCGCCATCGACACCTCCCAGCCGTCGCCCGTCATCGTGGAAGTCATGGACGCGCCAACCCCTCAAGCAGATCTCGTCGCCGGTCGTGTCGCGCCCGTCGTCGTTCAAGCCTCCACCGCCCATCCCGGCAAGCGCCAGGTCAACATCGTCGTCCAGAGCGGCGCTCCCGCAGCCGCTGCCGGGAAGGAACGCCCACCCGCCGCCGCCGTCGCCGCTGAGAATCCGGTGCAGGCCGTTCCCACCCTGTCGGTGAAGATGCGCAAGGTGGGGGTGAAACGCAAGAAGGCGGCCACAAAAGGTCCTGCGAGCACCGCGCCAACACCTCCTCCGATTGCTACCCCAAGAGCTCCCCCGAGGACGCCCGCCGCCGCCTCTACTGTCAGCGCCCCCGAGGTGTTCGACGAAATGAGCGCAAGGTATGAAACTATGATTTTCTTTTAGTTGTGTTTACTTTTCACCATTGCGATTGTTCGTGACTTCATTTCTTGGTTTGAGGGCTTGTGCGGGCTGCGGCCAAACAGACCCGGTCGCAGCCCACGTCAGCCCTCAAAACACATTTTTCACAGCCCTTATACTCACTTTAAAGGTCCCCGATATAAGTGATCTGCTAGAGATGCTCTAAATCCTAGAAGGACGTGGCCACAGGCAGACCAAAGAACTTAGGAAGGATTTGCAGATGAAACTGCGTACAATCAGGGGGCAAGAAATGAAACGAATAACCTATGAAGGATTTTTAGATGTCATCCTTTCCTCCTGGGTGCCCCTGGAAAGAATCCGGCTGAATACAATCCGCCGCCTCCAATGCGAACGAACCAGGGGGAAGAGCCAAGGTTGGCGGCCACCTAGGGTTCTTGGAGCGGTGGAAGTCATAGTGGGAACCCGGCGCGGCCTCTAGCTCGGCTCCCCAGCCCAAGTCAAGAATTCGGCCAAGATTATTTGCTTCAAGTGCAAAATTGAAGGGCATCATGTTAGATCTTTCCCATTGAAGAAGGCGGCCATTAGTGTCAAGCAACAAGGGAAGAGGCGACAAGTTCAATCTCATGCTCAACCTCAAGTTTAAGAAAGGCCACTTCCCAAGAAGACTCAAGTTAATGCTTCTCTTGTTGAGAAATCAAGTGAGAAGAAAGTGAAGAGTAGACGTTGCTACTTACGTCGTGAGAAAGGTCACGTCGCTTCTTCATGCACTAGTGGTAACTTATCCAACCCAATTATTATTGATGATATCTATTCTCTTGGGAAGGATAAGGTTGGCAATGTGTTTGCCAAGTTTGTTGGTACTCAAAGTGGTGTCAAGAAATGAACCATTTGGGTAGCCAAGCCTATTGTGACTAACCTCTTAGGACCCAACTTGGTTGGGGACCACCAAGCTCAAATTTGATCAATAGGTGTTGTTGGACGGCATTGGAGACTTGGCTACATTATGAAGAATTAAGGGGACTTCATCATTCCTTTTGTCTCAAGCCAAGTCAATTGGATTATCAAGTTTCTATCTTATATCCAATGTGCCTCCTTGCGGTAACTTGTACTTTAATTGGTTATATGGAAAGTTACTTGCCCCCATGCATATTTTGGTTTTGTTCCTTGCATGTGTTTGTATATGTTGTGCTTACAACTTGATTATCTTGAGCAATCAAGTATGTGTGTGTTGGTTTGCACATCATGTACGTGTGTGTCGTGCATTGAGCCTTTTTGCTTCTTGTTTGTATCCTAGTTGGCTTGTGTGAGAGATTAATGGAAAATCCCATTTTGGGGGAGTGATGTGCTTTGTGCACCTCACAATCCTATAAATGTGTGTACATGAGGAATACCATCTAGTATTGATATTACAAGATTATCTAGTTGCTAGGTGGTATATCTCTCATGAGAAATTCAAATTCTAAAAGTCCATTGACTATCTCTCGTTGGATCCACTTATTACCTCTTGTTAAGTTTTCTTTGGTATCACATTATGGGGGAGTAATATGCTATGTGCATATTACAAGCCTAGAAAATGTGTACCTTTGAGATATTGTCACTTAGAGTTGATATTATTAATTATATTGTTCCTAGGTGACATGTTAGCTCTACAAGTGGCAATTTGCTTGTGTTTGTTGTGAAGATGATGTTGGATATCCTTGTTATCTACCACCAGAAATTATTTACAAATACTTCTTGTCTTTTGACAATTGGTAGTCACTTATGTGTGGTAGAATTTATTGATCATCTTTACATTGGCTTTTTTTTGCCCTTTCTCTTGCCAAGGATTGTGTCACTCCCGTTGTCTTCCATACCACTTGTGGATCTTGTTAATTTCTTGTTCTTGTCTAGTGTTTTCTAGATATAGTGAAAGTGGTGATCTCACCTTATGCATTGTGTACTCAAATGCAAATTCTCTATAATGCACAGCTCGTGGGGGAGCTATCCTATTTTCTATAAAATGCTCATCTTGTGATCCTTATCAAGTGTGTGTTGGTGGAAGGCAAGCCGTTTGCTTTTGGTACCTTGTGCCATCATGAAACTTTGTTGAGAGCTTGGTTTGTTTGGAACCATCCTCTCTTTGGGAGTTTGACATCTTTAATTTAGTGTGTATCAATGGATATCTCATTCCTTGATGTATCTTTAATGATATCTTCCAAGTGATGATTTATCTATTTGGTATCATTTTTCACTTGGCATTTCATTTTCATTTGTTTTCGGTTCTTGAAAGTTTTGAGCATGCATGTTTACTTCACGTATTTTATTTGGCATGCTTTCTTTCTTTGAACCAATATATAGGGGAAACTCCACCAAGTCTCAAATTGGATGAGATGTGCATGATATTTATTTTCATATCTATATGCACATATTTATGTGGAGTTTGTCCTATGTATTGGTGTTTCTAACTATGTGGTCCCAATGAGTTTGGGTACTGTTTAGTTTGTCTTGTTCTTCTAGGAACATTTGGAGGTGCATTGGATGCTCGGCTCACTCACAAGGAAGGTGTTTCCACCATGTGCTTATTGGAGTCAAGCTAGGATGATCAATGAACTACTATCTACCTTCAATTGGTATCTACTACATCCTTCCGATGGTATCTCGGTAACAAGTATCAGCATCCACTTCATGCACACATTTCTTGCATCAACCTTGTGTAGGTTGTATCATGGCATGTAATTCATTCTTTCTTGTGATACTTGTTTCATTTCTCAAAGCATCCCAACAATGATCTCTTATTGCTAATTGTGATGTCTTTGATGGTTGTGTGGTAGGAATTCATTTATATACAATAAGACCATATCTAGCCATGTGCTATGCTTCCAAGCAAATATCTTATTGCTATATGTATGACTTCCTTGTGGATATCTTGTTCTTTTCTTGTTGTATCTATTTCATGTGTACACCCTTCTTTGTGGATTGATATCATCATGATTTGATCTATCGAGAATCTTATACAGTTGAGAGAAGTTAAATCTCTAGTTGATATCCTTATCTTTCACGTCCACCATTTTCTTTGGTGGTTTCGTGAAAGGATCTATCTTGAGTGCAGGCCATTTCTCGTTGCATCTTGTTGCACCCTTGTGTGGTGAAGATTATTTCCCTCTTGCTTGTTATGACGAGGCTTTGCCAATTTAATTGGCATCCCTCGTCTTAACGGAGCTTCCTTTTATATCTTCACCATGGGTTGTCACAAGCATAGGTTCCTTATTTGCTTATTAGTAAGCTTGTGAACCCTTTTGCTAGTTGTGTGTGGGAATCATAGGCCTTGCACTGTGTGCCTCATACTTTTCAAGACCATGTTGATGCTTAATGCTCACCCTTACATTAGTCTTCTCAAGTGCTTTGCCATGACTCACACACATCATTTTGGTTGAGCCTACTCTTAAGTTGCCCCGTTTACATGTTGCTCAACCATGTGCTTGTTGCAAGTGCTAGGCTTTGTCTCCTATTTGCCCACTTGCACTGGTTGTGAGTTTCTATTGATTTTGGGGGAGCTATGATCCTATTTTGTGCATGTTGTATCCAATACAAATATTCTTATTTTTGCACAAATCATGGGGAGCTTCTCTAGTTTCTTTAGAACACTCCTCTGCTCATATCATATTTTCATTTATTCTTGTGGCTCATAGGATCCTTGGTCTAGTTGGTTCAATTGATATCCTTTG